TAGAATGGTGCCTGCGATGGGGGTGTTGTCATAAGAGGAGAGGTTGAAATCTCTCAAATTGTTTTCTCTTGAAAAAAGAAGAGCTAGAAGGGATCTTATTGTGGTGTTTAAGATAGTAAAAGGAATAGATAGCGTTGATGCATCATCTTTTTTCATACTTAACAGTGAGAATAGTAGGACTAGAAAACATAAATATAAATTTTGGCAGGGTAGGAGTCATCTTCAGCTAAGAAAGTTTTATTTTTCTAACAGGATGGTTGGCCTTTGGATGTTGTCTCAAAACATTATGTTATGTTAATAAGCTTGTACTTCTGACATACTTATATATAATAAATAGGGGGAATATCACGATGATAGTACTATATAAAAAGGTTTACATGAGAATAAAAAAAAACACATAGGGACAAAACAGGAATTTAAAAACAAAAACAGTGCAAGCCTTCCTATATAAAACTGAAAATTTGTAGTTTATAAAATATGTACTGTTACATGTGCTTGAAAAATATTTCTTTTTTGTTTATTGCTCACCACTGAAAGCAATAAACCAAAATAAAGATTATAATTTAATATTTTAAGAAAGACTATAAAAACAGAATAGGTAATGATCATGAGCAGTTAAAAGCCACCCATGGTTGGTTAAGCTTCATATGCAAGCCACCCATAATGGTATGTAGAAATCCTACCACTAAGCCACCAGGATTGTTGTAGTTCAAGTGATATGAATAACTACACCTTGTTAAAGCCTTTTTTCACCTAAAATCTATGTTTTTTACTTAAATTATTAAGTTACAGTTCAACAAGATGTTTCTTTAAATTAAAACATTTAAATATAATATGACAATACACCTGCCTTATCATCATGACATGAAATACCTTTTAGCGTACAACAGGACAGTGTAATGACAAAAGCTAGTTGATCAGTGGAATTTACTCCTCCATTAATTGTTGTGCTCATTATTCAATTACATTCAACTAATCAATTATTCTCACGAGACTTGGATAGTTAGAATAATCAAAAATAGTATCAATCAGAAACAAATTTTGAATAATCATTGTACAATATTCTCTGGTACATTTTATGTGTTTAGATAAATTAAAAAAGTAGTAAGCCAAAATGATATTAAAGAGGAAAAACACTTACCTGTGAATCCAGTGCTTAAATCAAATGATTCTTATATTAAAATGTTATTAAGTATGTCTACACTGATGTAACTGACCAAAACCTACATACCATAGCATTCACCTCCAGTCAGTTGTGGAAGATTGGTGAAACCTCCAAAGGCCCCAGTCTGGGCAGCCTGCTGAAGAAGCTAACAGTGAGAACAAAGAAAAATTCCCGTATAACCAGACCTGGACATACTTTAATATTAAGGGCATCTGGGTTTCTTTTAACTTGTTCAATTTTCATGACACATAATACATTGCAAGTTACAACTGGTTCATTTAGGTTCATATGTCCAAATAGGTTCATTTAAAATCATTACCTGCCTACTAACAGAGGTAATACTAGTAAACTATTTTCTTAAAAATAAAGATTTTGGCTTTAACAATTTTAGGATGTTATTCAACACTTTTTCCCATGTATAAAAGCTAACAGGTAGGTGTATTTGATTAATCATTTATGGGAGTGTGACTAAACTTGATATAAAGATTACACACTCATAAAGAAGTTTACACACATTAATAACAAACAAAAAAACAACAGTTCTTAAGAAGACCCAATACTCTTTTTTTTAAATACTTCTTACTTTTTAAATGTTCTCAACTAAAAGGGGGGGGGGGGTCAGTTTACTTTAAGAGCTAAAAAAGTCAGAATTCTATGAAGACAGCTCTAAATGCAACAGAGAGGCAGCAATGAAAAAAAATATTGGTAGCAATAAAAATGATAACAAAAGATAACTTCTACAACAAAATTGAGAAAGATGGAGCAGCAAATAAAAATATGGCAGTTTTAAAATGAGGTTGAGTGTGAAAAAGAGACATGTTTAAAACATCAGTGAGATGGTGGGGGAGAGGGGGGAGGTTCAGTAAATATCAGAGGTTTCATTCATTCATCCATCATGACAGAAATGAAAGGTCTAAAAATCTTTCACTAATGTTGCTTCAAAAATGTTGTCAACAAACAGTGTGTCTTGAGTGATGGATGGATTATTACATCTTGTCATAAAAAAGGAAGGCTAAGATATAATTAATTATATCAATACCACTTATATTTCTTGAGAGGTATGTGAATACATTCCAATTCAATCACCTGATTGTTTATAATGATGAAAACAGCAAGTGGGCATAAGCATCTATAATAAGCTTAGACAATATAATCATTAGAAGTGTACCACTACATTTACATTGCTGTACTTTGAATAAACTTATTTAAAGAAACAAAACTGAATAAAAAAAAAAAAAGTTCACAGCTGTCAAACTTGCATGTATTATATGTTTATTTCTTTAACCTAATTTTTACAATAGATAAAGTTTCAAACCTTTAGAAGAAATGTAATTTCAGCCAATTTCTCACATTACCAGAATGCCACCGACTTAAGATAGTTTAAAATCTTGGGTCTGGATAATGTTTACATCCACAGATTATTTAACATTTTACTTTGAACTCAATGATCAAAATAACAAAATCTAAATCTAGGAAGTGACAAAATAATATAATGTATTACACAACACAACTCTATTTTTCATGTCCAAACTATGCACCTGAATTATAGGATAAGCTTATGAATATCACAAATTTTATAAAAGTTTTGTACCGATGTTTATATTCAAATACAACTTAATTTGGTACTTAAGTAAAGTTTATGACTGACCATTCTACTAAAAGACAGAAAGATGTTAAATGTTCAGATCTGCTGATGGCCAACTAGTCAACCAACAGACAAGAAAGTATGTACATTCAAGTCAACTGGTGATCAACCAATCAATAAAAAAGAGCGACAACATTCATGTCAGTATATACACACAAAGGAAAATATGTGACATTCAAGACATCTAGTAGTCACCACTCAACTAACAAACAACTGATGAAACATATAACATTTATGCCTGAAGGTAATCAACAAAAAAACTTAGAAACATCTAAACTTATCTAGTAATCAATCAGACAACCAAGAGAAATAAAAAAAGAAAAAAATTAACAATCAAGTCAACTGACATGGTACTCAATTTGTGAACCAAAATACAAGAAAATTTGTAATAATGAGTCAGATGATGACCAAATAGACAAGGAAACAAGTCAGCTAACATGATGATCAATCTGTGAACTAAAAAACAAAGATTGTAATATTCAGGTCAGACTAAACAGACAAAGAAACATAAAATCAACCTGGCTGATAATCATGTAATTAATCAACAGACATGAAATATCTAAAAGTAAAGTGATCAAACAAACAACCAAAAGACAGGAAAACATACTGAAGTCAGTTGATACAAGAATTAACTAAACAACAGATTAAAAACAAAATTAAAACCACACAGTAAACAAATGATAGGGAAAATATTCACACATTGTTAACTTACTGTTAAGTACTGTGGTGTCAAAGTACTAATGTTCCCAAAATTAGTCATATTCCATAAGTTAGCCATCATCTGTTGTTGTCGTTTTTGATCCTTTTCTTTTTGGGTGTCAGCAAACTTTACCACTAGAGGGCTGCTACACCCCTACAACAGAATGAAAAAAAAATCTTAATTAGAAAATTTTGTGTATGCAGTGAATTTCACTACACAGCATTCTCAAGCATTCCAATTCATCTGACAACATTCTGAAACTTCTGCCGCTGGAGGGTAGAACATGAATTAAAAGCAATATTCACAAATTTGTACTGTAACATCTCAGTTGTATTTTTTTATATGAAAAAAAAAATGCTTGTTAAACTTTCATGTCTACGCTAGGAACCTTAAAAGTCTTCCTTACATTTACTAAAATTACTAAGTTAAGATGTATTTAAAACATAAATATGATGCATTTAGTGTGTACCTGAAACTCTTTAAGATGTCTACAATATCGTAAGTAAGGGCACCCAAGTACAGCTGAAAACAAAAGAGCAGGAGAAATAATTGGGAATTTAGCCATAGAAATAAAATGAAAAAATAATAGATACCAAGCTTGTTAGAAAACTAATTCGTTGTAATGCTTCAATGCCCCCCCGCATTAGCCTTACAATTTCTTACCACTGCAGCTTCGTTTCTGTGCAGCGAATAAATATATATGGATGACATACACCTTTTGTCAGTCCACTTTACTATTGTTTGCGACCTCACCTGAGTGTTCCTTGTGTTTTATTAATTAAGATACTAATTAATTTATATAACACGTGATGGGAAGAAGACTCGGTTAATTTTTCCACGTCTTCTACGGCACTTTATACACAAAAATCAATGAACGTGCCGATACTGAAATATTTAGCACACTCGTCTACGTTACTTCTGATTCGTAATCATAGTTGAATCGGAACCAGGAAAGGATATTTATTTCACTATAAAACTCAACTTCAAGAAGAAAATAAATGAGGTATTTAGTTTTCTTAAATCTGTTAAACGTGTTTTAAATTGATCGAAGTTTTCTTTTAAGTGGCTTGTGGAACTTAAATTTAAAATAAACACTTCATAAAATTATTTACTCTGAAAATTGCCAATTCAAACAATTTACGTCGTGGAACGATCAGAAAGATTAAATGAAAGTAGCTTAATTATTTTTGTACTAAAATATAGAGTAAGACAGACAAGTTTCTTATAACATAAGCCAATTTGCTTGCGTTTAACATACTTTGGTAACAACAACAACAAATATCTGAGTGTGTGTGTATATAAACAAACAAACATATTATGTGTGGGTCCTAACTTAGGCAAAGTTGAAACATGCTTGTGGAATTGTCATATACTTATTAAAACTCCCAAATACACTTTTAAATTTTGTGAACTGTGCAACACGTATAATAAATATAAGTCTCTTAACTCAATTCCAGACTGGGAGCTTTAATTTTCCGTAATAGGCTTAAGCACCGTTAGATTGTTTTCAAACTTCCTCCACTGATTAAGTATATATGCTTGGCTGTTTGCTCAAATTTGGGTATTTATTATATCAATTTAAATATGAAAAAATATCAAAGCAAAGGTGAGTTATCATTGGAAGATTATAAACGCTAATGAACATATGTTTCCACCTATATTGCAACTCTCGATAAAGTTTAGAAGAAACAGACAGTATTTTAATGTTCAGAAATAAGAGAACAGTCCATGATAATATCAACGAACGTTATGACGTCTTGAACTGCAGGTTAAGGTAACCAACATCGTGTACTTTCTTCGATTTTCTGTCAGTTACATCTAACGCTTTAATACACCTAAATCTGACTTAAACCCTATAACAAACTAAGCTCCGTGGTTAACAGTGATTCTGACGGTAACCAATTTGTCGAACCTGGAAGAGGGCCTACAAAGTAGCTTTTCCAAGTGCGACGAATTACTTCATGTAGAAATTTCTGGCTGCTGTAATCACAGAAATGAAGTTTGTAACAGCTAACCACTTTCCGTCTTTCACCCTAATTCCGTTTTATTATTATTATTCCGGGAATGTCACAAACCATTCTCTTACCGGTTTACAAGAGTTTGTCGTCCATTTTTCAACCAAGCTCAACTATTATTTTTGACTACAGCATGTCATAACTGACGGAGAATAAGAAAGTTACGGTACAAAGAACAATTTGTTCGTTTTTCAGAACTTTGCGCAAAACTACACAAGTGCTATCTGCGCATAGCTGTCTTCAAATTGTGAACTGATATAAGGGAAGGCAACTAGTCAACAGCACACACTGCCAACTCTTGGGATACTCGTGTCTGACTGAACAGTTGGACTTGACTGTCCCTTTTATATCGCACTCAAGTCACTAAAGCGTGAAACGCATTTTTGCAGTAACGAGAGCGAACGATGAACCCTCAGATTCACTCGGTCACACCGGTCTCTACAAATATAAAAAACACAGGCTTTTAATAAGTCTGGTGACTGGTCTAAACCGTTCTATTTCTTAATATACTTACACTTTCAAGTCTTAATTAAACGATACAAAATATGGAGTTAAGCATTTACGTGGTACACTTTACATCAATGGTGCTGTCAAAATGAATTATGTATGAGATACGGGGTGAGATTTTAACAATACATTTCTGGTAGTAATGCCTCAGTACAGTTTCATTTCCTGTTAGCTGGAACTTCGTTTCAACAAAATTAAAACTGTACGTTCAACTACCGTATTGCTTTTAAATGGGGTAGGGTGGGAGAGAAGAAAACGATGATGGAATAAAAACCTTTATGTTTCACCCATTTGAGTGTTTGGCATGAAGAACTTAATTGTTTTACAATGTATTTATTGTTGTTGTTTTAATAAAAAAAGCTATCTTATATTTTCATGAATATTAAGAAATATTAACAACAGTTAAATGATCTGTTTTGACCGAAAACACATTTTTCACGTGTTGAATAAACGTGAGCAAAACAAAAGATATCTCAGTGAATCACTATTCTGAAAAATATTTTAAAATATCCTTTGATGAAAAAAAGGACTGTAAAAAATGATAAGCAAAAGTAGGGAGGAAAAGATGGTCAACTTATTTTCCCATGATGCTTCGAAGAAACTTCTAAGTGAGAGCTTCAGGCCAGCTGTTTTAAGAGCTTGGAATGGTTCACATAGTTGCGTTTACTTTAAGTGCCTTACGATTCCTGGAGATGTTTTTGCTTATGGTACCACAAGATTCCTGAAGTTGTTCTTACCAAAATATTCAATCTGTCATTAGATTCTTTGTCAAATTACCACTTTGTGCTTTTCTTTTTCGAGCATTGCTACAGCAATTTAGTAGAATAGAAAAATGCCATGGGTTACTCAGCTTTTTTTTTTATATATTTTTGTTCCTTAGAAAAAAAGAAACGCGGTTGTAAACGTGTCAGATTCACTCACACGTACCTGCTGTACAAAATCTGTTCTTGAGAATTTTCTATATTTTTTTTAAGATGTATGATATCGTAACTAATGCCATTCTGGTAGGTATGCCGTGTGCTTTCCAAGTGGTCGACAGCTTTTGAACACTTTCATATTTTGAAATAAACATTGTGAATTGAAGAAGACGCAACTGATGTCTCGCACGTTTCTAACACATCCTTAATCCATTACCACTATATGTAGCTCGACAGTTTTGGAAGACATCCATTAGCAATTTCATATAAAAGTTCAAGCAAAATAACTTTAACATTATTTAAAGTTCAGTAAAGACATATATATTTTCTCGTTTCAGTGATTAATATATAATTCTACAGGCCTAAGCAGGTGTTATAAATCAGAAAAAAATAGGATCCCTTTGAGTAACAGTGTGAAAGTACACACACACTCATATATATATATATATAATTAGTGATTTTTTTTGTTTAGAAGTTAAGCACAAAGCTACACAATGGGATATATGTGCTCTGCCCACCAAGGGTATCGAAACCCTGTTTCTAGCGTTGTAAGTCCGCAGACATACCGCTGTGCCACTGGCGGGCATACTTAGTGATATTGGAGTTTGAACGTGATAATAAAGAAATGGACCTTTATTACTGTTAGAGTTGAGGTACTTATTATGAGAACAACGTTGCAAGAATAAAGATGATAAAATAATGTAATTTAGTAACTATATCATTCAAGCATAAAAAGAACATCAGCGTTTACTATTCTTATAACTACATTATATATATAAACGACTACAATATTCCAAAATCAACTTATTTAAACGAACCAGCATTTCATAATGTCTTGTACTTAGCACTACAAGATCTAAAGAAAGCTTTTACTATTCTTAAGTGTCAAGGTGGTATTATAAGTGACCAATATCGTTAATGTGTTTGAAACCAAGTCACGTTTTATCAAAGCCAGAATGTTGGTAGTACTGTTACTGACAATGGAGGAACTATAATAAAGTATAAGTACTATAAGTATTGCCCAGTGTTTTTAAAGAAGTGAAAACTGGAATGTGAGAGATTCGAATCAGGAATGTGCCTACCGGGAAAACAGTAAACTAAGCTACTATCTATGAGTCCGTTTCACTTCACCATATAGTAACCTATGTGAATAATTTTTGACATTTTGTCGAATTCATTATTCGATATTAAACAGCGGACCAACTGTTTAATGATTGTATATATCTACGTTACGGAATCTGTTTTCAATTTCACCTCTAGTGAAAACGAATTTTTTAACATATGTATACAAACTAAGTTACTGCTGGCACTCCCAGTTTTCACTTGGTTGGTTATTAAGTTACGCCAAATGGCTTGTAAACCTCAGAATCCGTTTACCATAATTTTGTTGTTGAAATGTTTCAAAAGTGAAAACAACGTCCTTTTTTTGTTTGCATTTTTAGGAAGTTTTGTCATCATTATCATTTTCATAACTACTCCCCAAAAACCATTATGAAGGCTGAACCGAAAGCTGGAAACGTAATTACAACGGAATACCTGAATCGGGATCTGAAGGGACCAAGTTCACCTAAGACATTTTCCTCCACGTAATTACATTTATTTTTTCATTTTCTCATCATCGATGTTTAGGTCTTAAAGACCTGGATGGGTCAGGTGCAAATGATCACGTTAATTTGAAATCGTAGGTTAATCATAGGAATTTGGCTGATGTTGTGGCCTGGAGAAGTGTCTCATTCACATATAGTTTGGGTGGGTATTTTTTTAGTTTTGCGAATATTAACAATTAAGTTTGGGGGTCATTTATTTTGATATGATATTTTTTGCAATATTCTTTAATTGTGGTCGTAAATGAAGGAGTAGAATGACTTTTCCAGACCGCAACACCATCAGCTAATTGTAAAGAAAAACCTAGATTTCCATCCTTAAGGGGCATATTGCTTACATACATGATGAATAGGATAGGGCTAACTACCCTCCTTGAGAGACACCCCCCTCTTGAGTAAATGACTCCGAAAAGGTTCCCCCTATATTTATTTCACATTTTCTGTTCTCCAGAAAGTTTGATAGCCAGCAAATAACACCGTGCAGCAGTTCCATTTCTGGCATATGGAACCTTAGACCATTGTGCCATACCGTGTCGAATGCCTTCTCGATATCGAGAGAGCATGCGACAATGCATTCTTTCTTATTAAAGCTATCTATGATTAATTCTGTTAGTCGAATTAAGTGATCTGTAGTCTGTGTAAATTTTCCAAATTCATTACAGTCAGTCAAGGTCCTCATCGATTTTCGGTTTCGATCTTTTGGGGGTGGGGGTCAGGTACAGTTCTTACCCCACCCCTTTTACGTTACAATTGGACTTCAGCAGCACCCTTTGAAACACGCGCGTTTTTATGATAAAAAGGTGGCTAATCAGTGGTGAAAGTTCGTCCCCTTTTCATCTTGAAGTAAGATTTGTGAGAAGAGGATGACAGTTGTTTACTGCAATTACCTACCTCCATGGTTTGGGAGTGGTTCATGCCTTTGATAGCGTTAATTGCACACTGGCGAGACCCGTACGTCACAAATCCACAACCTGAAAAAGAAAGAGAAAACAATAAAACTGATGACAGACCAATTTCAGTATGTATTTTTAAAGCATGGAGAGAGACTATCATTCTCATGTAGCAACGTAGACGTTTAAAACTGAAAATGAAGAAAATATGATTTATCGCAAGAATTTTCATATATGAATAAGGTCTAAGAAAATTGATGGTAATATAAAAAAAACAACCCTTAAATATATTTATATATATATATATATTAACTGTAGGCCTAAAACTCAACAGTCTTTGAAAGATCGACTACTGTATCCATGTCAACCTTCCACTGGCTGAGTTTTAAATATAATTTGCTTCCACATTTAACAGAATATAATAATAAAGCCTGACTTGAATAACAACAAGCTAATGATGTGTGCGCAACCTTTAGAAACAAATTATTCTAAACAGCAATTTTAAAACTGCTTGAAATCTCACTCCAACACTTTTGGACTATCTTTTCATCCAATATAATCACACACATTTGCACAACTAAACTTTATATACACACCACATATCTCTGTTTACACCAAAGTACAAAACATACTTTGCATATTTAATGTTTCTCAAACATATAAAACAAAAACGTAAGATATTACTGCTTTTATCGTCTTGAGTACATTGTAAAAAGTGATATCAAAGTCTTTTGAATTGTTGCAATACATTTTTTTACCCATTCCTCCAATATGTCTGTTGGCCTAATCACTTTTTTTGTTTATCCATCTGTACATCCATGCTAAATACCAAAGGTTACAATGATCAGAGTTCAGAAAACAACAACAATAAAAAACAAAAACACTAAACGATATGCATTGGAATCTTGATACTTCTACGAATTGTCATTAAATTCCTTTTACTTTCAGCTACAAATCGATTTCTTCTTTCTACCACTTGTCTTTTCTAAGCTAATGCTATTTCACGTATATTTCTGGTAATTATGTTTACATATACTTTATGGCATCTTAAACTAAAAGATCGATTGTTTTCTTAACTTTGGCCAAAAACTTACCAATATTCTTCAGGTATTTTATTAGCTGGTATATAAAAAAAATTATACATTACGGATTTAGTCCATATTTATAACTACTGTTTTGATTCGAACGTAGTTGGTTGGTTTGTTTTACTGAATGGCTATACAACGAGCCTTTTGGGCTGTGATCAATGCAGGTATCAAACCCCTAATTCTAGCGTAATGACATCTGAAAACGCTGGCAGTATATAGAATTGGACTATTCCTTTACGCAAAGGTTATTTTCGGATTCCTGCCAGACTTTATGTAAATCAATTACGCAATTCACAAAGCATAAACTACTGAAAAACGTTTCCTATATATTTTTACATTAAATCACAGATGATTTATGAGAGGACGATAAAACTTTAACGACTTTGTAATCACACCTGGTTGAAATTGTAGACTAAAACTAGAAACTGTAGTACAATAGCTGTGGTATTACGTGTCATGGCTAACAGATCTAACTCTCTTCTGTGATTAAATATTCTCGCACTTAATAAAAAGTCAAATTCAACGTAAATATAACTAAATCATCACCTTTGGATCCACGCTTGCTTCAGAGTAGATCTGTATTTCAAAGAAAACCTTAATTATTGTTAAAAATGTATATATGCGTATATAAAATCTCGTGACAGCCTGATTAATGTTGAAGTAGTCTAGCTTTCAGTGCTAGTCTATGGTATTTCTTACTTTAATATTTGTTGTTAACAAATTATACTATCTTGAACCGTAATTGTATTACCACTACTCTGACATTTCACACATTTTAAGAACATGGTCTAACTTAATGTCCCGTCTGATGAATGAAATACAGCTAAGAACTTCAAACAAAAGGTAGAAAATAGCGGAAGTACTTATACATGGTTTTTTAAAAGTAGCAATGAATAATACAGGGCGTGGCCCTTATTACTCCGGAGGAGAAGCATGAACATACAGCTGCACATATAATAGGCAGATCCGGTTTCAGCCAAAACTTTTAAAGAGTTGTTAGTAGTTCTTTCTTGGCACTTTCAGCTAAATCTTATCTACACTAGGTGTTTGTTAGTTAATTAATGAATGGATCAAATGTGTGTGTTTTTTCTTACAATGTTACGTTACTCTAAAATAGTTCACAAAGTTCATATGGTGTAAAATCAGGTTGATGGAATACTGTGGACAAATGGAAAAAATGCTCGCCATCACAATTTACCTGAACTAACAAGTTGTTTGTTTGTTTTGAATTTCGCGCAAAGCTACACGAGGGTTATCTGCGCTAGCCGTCCCTAATTTAGCAGTGTAAGACTAGAGGGAAGGCAGCTAGTCATCACCACCCACCGCCAACTCTTGGGCTACTCTTTTACCAACGAATAGTGGGATTGGCCGAAGCTTATAACGCCCACACGGTTGAAAGGGCGAGCATATTTGGTGGGACGGGGATTCGAACCTTTGACCCGCAGATTACGAGTCGAGTGCCTGAACCACCTGGCCATGCCGGGCCTCTAACAAGTTGTTATCGAATGTCTCCGGGCCAAGGGCAGTAACAGAACTACATTATTATCTAAGCAGCTTCAATATGGCCTTTCACTTCTCAAAGCTCAAAGATGCACTCAAATCACCGTGGCAATTTATTCACCAATCAGCAGTTGGGTATCTGTAAACTGCGTGACAATCAAAACTTTCAAATTAACGGTAATCTAAAGCCGGATAGCTGGATGAGAAGAGTCGGTCTCCTTTTATCAGATGATGAAGCTCTATTACTATATGAAACCTAATAGAGACCTTTACGGATGTCAAAAACCTGCAGTAAAGCCACAAGATAATCTTTTTCGTTAACAAGTATTATCCGCGTAATGTCATGCACTAGCTCTCTTCATCAAAGCCAAATATTTCAATGAAGTTGACAAAACTGAAAATAAAATAATCGAATACTGTATACACCTTTCCTCTACCGGGCCAAGTGTGATCTAGCGTGCCGGATTATGGGTGGATCCACGTGTTTGTTCCTCCTTTACCATTACAGAACTTTGGGGCCGTGGGTGTGTTATAAGGGTGACGGTCAAATCTCATTAATCAATTAGACAAGAGTGGCTCAAGAGTTTGCGGTGTATGATTTTGACTAACTACCCTCTCTCTAGCCTATCAGTTTAGATAATGCCGTAATGTTTTTCTTTTGTTGTAGTTTTTTTTGCGTTAGCCCTCTCTAGCTTTAAAGCGCTATAAAATACACACTCGTTGGAAGGACTATTTTTCATAAACTAATGTGATACTGTTCTAAGAACTATATTGCGTAAAGTGAATGGCCCAGTTCTTAACGTTTTGTTCTGTTTCAATAAATACGCAACACATCCTTAAGGACGATACATCAATTATGAAAAAAATCATAAATTCATATCTTACCGTCAAAGGTCTACTTACACGTCATTCTTAAGTTGTGTTATAGTGTGCCGCCAACAATACAGCTTAACATGTGAGAAGAAAAGACAAACTTTGTTAAACCAAGTCATGGTGGTTCCATAAGCAGTATTTGTTTTGCTATGAATCATGCGTCATTTTCTTTTGATAACGAGTCTTAGATTGAAATAAGTTGTGAAGAAATTAAAAATATATGACACAACATAGGCAGAACAATTTCTTAGACAGGGCAGGTGTTGTAGGATACAGAAACAATATCTCACCATCATGCCCTTATATCTCGGATATGGAAACAATATCTCACCATCATACCCTTATCTCTAGGATACAGAAACAATATCTCACCATCATACCCTTATTTCTAGGATACGGAAATAATATCTCACCATCATGCCCGTGTCTCTCGGATACGGAAATAATATCTCACCATCATGCCCGTATCTCTCGGATACGGAAACAACATCTCATCATCACGCCCGTATCTCTCGGATACGGAAACAACATCTCATCATCACGCCCTTATCTCTCGGATACAGAAACAATATCTCACCTTCACGCCCGTATCTCTCGGATACAGGTACAGTATCTCACCATCCTGCCTGTATCTCTCGGATACAGGAACAGTATCTCACCATCATGCCCTTATCTCTCGGATACAGGAACAGTATCTCACCATCATGCCCTTATCTCTCGGATACGGAAACAATATCTCACCATCATGCCCTTATCTCTCGGATACAGAAACAATATCTCACCATCATGCCCTTATCTCGGATACAGAAATAATATCTCACCATCATGCCCTTATCTCTCGGATACAGGAACAGTATCTCACCATCATGCCCGTATCTCTCGGATACAGAAACAATATCTCACCATCATGCCCGTGTCTCTAGGATACAGGAACAGTATCTCACCATCATGCCCGTATCTCTCGGATACAGAAACAATATCTCACCATCATGCCCTTATCTCTCGGATACAGAAACAATATCTCACCTTCACGCCCGTGTCTCTCGGATACAGGAACAGTATCTCACCATCATGCCCTTATCTCTCGGATACGGAAACAATATCTCACCATCATGCCCTTATCTCTCGGATACAGAAACAGTATCTCACCATCATGCCCGTATCTCTCGGATACATGAACAATATCTCACCATCATGCCCTTATCTCTCGGATACAGAAACAATATCTCACCATCATGCCCGTATCTCTCGGATACAGAAACAATATCTCACCATCATGCCCTTATCTCTCGGATACAGAAACAGTATCTCACCATCATGCCCGTATCTCTCGGATACGGAAACAATATCTCACCATCATGCCCTTATCTCTCGGATACAGAAACAATATCTCACCCTTGCTGCCATTTTTGTAAGGTGCTAGAAAAATATTTTACAATGCATCATGACCTTATTTGTCGGAATTACGCCGTATGATTTAAGTGAAGACCAGAAAATGGGATTTGATATTGTTATTAGGTCATAAGAAAAATATGAAAATCTTAGTTCCCCTTCCATGTAAAGACTGTAGATGTAACAGACCTACGTTACAAACTGTATAGCTCCATCGATCTACAATGG